TTTTAAATAAACCATATAATACATGGGCCTTACACCTAATATTTAATGAATATAAATAACAAAGAGACAATTATAAATGGATTAGGGACCAATCACCCAATAAACTATACGATTATGTTGAAAAAGTAATGAAATCTCTATTAAAATCTTAAACAATCTCAACATTTAATTATTCTTGTACGAGTTGGGGTTAGTAGACACTACTAACCCGCCGTTCAAAAAAAAGTTATTCTTGTTTTAATGATAACAGTTAAATAAATTACATATTAATTGTTTGTTAATATGTTGTAGTAATAATTCTTTATTTAAGAAAAATATGAGCTTGTAGCTTCAATTGGACTACTTATATGGGCTTAGAAGATTGGGATGAAGTTTGTAGCAGAAATGAAGAGATGAAATAAAGCATCTTCGGGTAGACCGTGAACGCCAGCTGGAAGAATTAGAGAGGTTAAGTTATGATATTATACGATTAGAAAAAACTGGAACTACAATGCTATAATAGAAAGAAATGAAACTTACACAAATTGATGCAATCATTCTTTAGTTTGTTTCTATTATAGCATCATTATTTCATTTTTTCTATTATAGCAAGAAATAGCACTTTAAATTAAACAATAATTAAATTTAAAAAAGAATACGAAAAATGGAAAAAAATGATTCAATTTTTGGACTAACCACAATAAAAGTTAGAAAGTGCAGGGACCATTTTGTATTTTTCTCTAGAGTACATTTCCAATTTTCTATTTTGGTCGGATTTTGGATTTTAAATAAAAATATGTAGTGAAAATCATTCAAAATTTTTGGTTGGATGTGTTTACGAGTATATTATGGGTGTGTTTTAAAATATCTTACACTTGAAAACATATTCATGTTTAATTTTTTCTATCTTCATAGTTATTTTTGATTTTGCTTTATATGATTAATATAACAGAACCGAAATGCTTTTTTTTGAGATTATATTCTTTGTTGAAGTTGAAAGTTGTTGTATTACATGTGTGTGACGTCTTGAGAGAATGTTTATCCATGGATATTCTTACACATGTTGTTTTTAGAAGGTTTCACATTTTTCGGAATGGGATTCTTTGAAGGCAGCTGTACGTAAATTCAATTTCTTTTCATTTTTAATGGGACTAATATTATAAAAGTCCTAAATTTTTAACGCGTAATTGGAAAAAGTCCTAATATTTTTATTATTATTGATATGGCCACAACTTTATCACAGAATTATTGTTCTAGCCCACTTAACGAGTTTCATGATTAACTTGGTTAATTTTTTTGCAAAATCAGTCCTAAAAAGTTCAAATTTGGTCCCTGAGGTTTGCAAAAAATTACACAACATGGTTTTTTAACATTATTTTTCGTATTTATGTATATTTTATTTATTTTTGGGTTTTTTTTATAAATATATATACATTTTTTATTTTCTTTTTTATATATATTTTATTTATTCTCATTTTTAACTTTATTTTTCAACAATTTGAACTTTTTTTTTTACCTTTTTACCTTTTGTTTTCTATATATTTTTTATATTTTAGTTATTTATGATTTTTCTAATGTTTTTATTTATTTAGATTGAAGAACTTGAATTCAATTTTAATTACTATAACAAGTTTTTTTTTATAGAGACCGGCTATTATTATATTTTTTGTTCTTTCTTTTAGTCTATTATCAAATTGAAAAATATTATCTTCAATTTAAACTATTGATATCACATATAAAATTATGATTTAATTTGCAAGTTATATAACACATTGCAACACTAATTCTCAATAAACAATCTATTTTTTTTTTTAATTTTCATTTTTTCGTAACATAAATATAATAGCACTAAAGAAAAAAAGAATAAAAAGAAAATAAGTTGGACTGAAATTACAAATATAAACATAACTATTTTATTTAGTTGAATAAAAATAAAAAAATTACAAAAATTATAAATTATCAAAATTGTAATATACTCTAATATATTAATACATTTTACATTTTTTGAAAAAAAATCAATAAAAAGTTAAAAATACAAAAAAATAAAAACAAATAATTGAAATACAAATAAGAAAAAAAATAAACAAAAAGATAAAACGGTTAAAAATATAATATGAAAAAAAACTATAAAAAAGAAAAAAACTCTAATATACTCTATATATACACTAAAAAATAGAAAACAAAAGGTAAAAAAATCAAATTGTTGAAAAATAAAGTTAAAAAAATGAAAATAAATAAAATATATATAAAAAAGAAAATAAAAAATGTATATATATTTCTAAAAAAAACCCGAAAATATACAAAATATACAAAAAAACGAAAAATAATGTTAAAAAACCATGTGGTGTAATTTTTTGCAAACCTCAGGGACCAAATTTGAACTTTTTAGAACTGATTTTGCAAAAAAATTAACCAAGTTAACCATGAAACTCGTTAAGTGGGCTAGAACAATAATTCTGTGAGAAAGTTGTGGCCATAACAATAATAAAAAAAAATATTATGGTTTTTTCCAATTACGCATTAAAAATTTAGGGCTTTTATAATATTAGTCCTTTTTAATGTCATATAAATGAAGTCAAATATCCATAGGGTTAACGAAATTAAACTTTTCGAAGATTAATAAACGTTTACTTTTTGTATTCAGAGATGCTTAACAACTCATTTGAACAAAAGCTTGCAATTTTGACAACCTTTTGGTTTACAAGGCTGGGATGACTCACATTGTCAGAGACGCCGACAAACCTCGATAAAGTAAGCATTTGACCGGTGAACTCTGACTAAAGGTGAGGACCTGTTTCGTCATTTTTTGATAAAAACATGATAATTAGGCATATGTTTTTTTTATATTCTTTTGGATGTATTTTAAAACCAATATTTTATGTATTTATGATTGACATTTTGGATTTTCAGGCAACAATATTTCATGATCCATATGACGCCTTTGGAAGGCTGTTTTAAATCAGGTCTCATTTTCTCTGAACAAATCTATAAATTGTAATAGCATGAGGATTTGTTGGGTGGTTATCGAAATGGACATGGAACATGAAACTTTTATATTTGCATTTGTCATGCAGGATCTTAGTGAATTCACTCATGGTAAAGATTTTAAAATGGGCAGAATCTACTTAACTCCATTGAAAGCCCGAGGTTTGAACCAAAAATGATCTCCATATTTTAGAGATTGATATCCCAAATGAGTCTCTTACCGACTACATTAACAACGCTTTTGGATAAATGGATGCCTGCAGTTTTAGATTCATGGGTAATTCTTTTATTTCATCAAAATTATTCATTTCTTTTATTGTTGGTATATTTTGATGTTGTAATAGAAACAAATGAAAGTATGTTGTTGTTCTTTGTAATCCTCTTTTCATTATGCAGGTTACAAGTTAGGAGATTGTTTAGTGACTTAAAAAGGATCTTAGCTACAACAAGATTTCAAAGGGCCTTAAAAAGGAGTTCTACTGCAATCACACTGGTGTTCAGGACCCCCGAGTTAGGCCATGTGTCTATTAATTAATTATCTTGTATCATAAATACTAATCTTTTTAGAGTAACTTAAGTCTATTTGCACTTCATTTATTTACCCATAATAACAATGTACTTACCCTTATTTACCCTAAATTCTTACGAGTGTAAAACATATTGCTATTAGCTGTAATTTTTCCTTCTTTTATTTACTTTTAAAAACTATGAATATTAGGAATCTACTATTTTTACTTTCTGTTCTATGGAACCCCTTCCTCTTTTTGTAGTTACAAATTTGGTCCCTGTATTTTACTCACCATTGCTACTTTGGTCCAAATTCTGCCCCCGTATACTGTTTTTATACTTAAAAAATTTTGATTTTAACAGTTTTGGACCAAACTGCCTCTGTATACTATTTTTATAGTTTAAAAAAACTTTATTTTAACAGTTTTGGACAAAACTGCCCCTGCATATTGTTTTCTTAATTTTTTTTATTTTAACAGTTTCGGGCCAAACTGCCCCTACATATTACTTTTATACTTAAAAAAATTATTTTAACGGTTTTGGACCAAACTGCCCCTGCATATTGTTTTTATAATTAACAAAATTTGATTTTAATAGTTTTGGACCAAACTGCCCATGGATACTTCTTTTTATAGTTAAAAAAAATTGATTTTAATAGTTTTGGACCAAACTGCCCCTACATATTATTTTTATACTTAAAAAAATTTGTTTTTTTAACAGTTTTGGACAAAACAGCCCCTACATACTATTTTTATAGTTAATTTTTTTTTGATTTTAACAGTTTTGGACCAAACTGTCCTACATACATACTTTTTTATATTTAAAATAAATTGATTTTAACAGTTTTGGACCACACTGCCATTGCCTATTGTTTTTATGCTTAAAAAAAATTGTTTTAACAATTTTGGACCAAACTGCCCCTACATACTGTTTTTATACTTAAAAAAAATTGATTTTAACAGTTTTGGACCAAACTGCCCCTGACCTTTTTAACCCACGCCAATAGCACGTGCGACCTTCATCTAATTGGAATAATTGTCTATTGTTTAGATTGGTTGACATGATTATTATATTAAGCTATATCAAAATCAGATGGAACTAAAGAAATCCAAAAACCTAATTATTTGTTGTATAAGTTTTGAATTATTTGAGTACTTTGAAAAATAAAATAGTAAACTTTGTTTGTTTACGATTTGAAGATTTGTTTGTAATTAATTCTATTAAAAATTCAACAAAGTAAATAATGAAGCCACACGTTCTTGTTAATATGTTTACACATAATGTCATTGTTTTCATTTGATTTAAGGGATAAACCAAACCAAATAAAGAAACCGAATAACCCAAAACCAATTAAACCGAACCTCATTAGGGTCTGTTTGATAGTGAGTTGACTGGATCGGTTAGTAATTTTGGCTGACTCGGTCCGAATTAATCCGTTTGATAAGCCCGAAAAGTATTGACTCGGTAAGCAATAACTTACCCAACTCCTTACTCGTCCACCTAAAAAAAATTGTGGCTGACCGAAAGATTTAACGCTTTATCCCGCTTCTAACCTTGAAAAATCACGCCTCCATTTTGCTCCATCCTTCTACTCTGTCGCTCACAGCTCAAAGGGGAAATGGCCAAACCTCTACCCTCCGCTACCCTCCCGACACCAGCAGCTTGCTCCGCAAGTCCTCCACCATCGCCGGATTTTCAACCTCTGCGTCTCGAAGGTAACTTGCATTCTTTTTTTACCGTTTCTGAAATTAGATGCACAATGAAATCATATATGAAATTAGGAGCTTGCTTCACGTGTATGATCTGAAATCGGACATGAAATCATATATGATCAGACATGAAATCAAGCTTTTTTTATGTATTTTTCGTTTTCTGAAATTGGACATATAGCTGAAGTATTGTTGAATGGTGAATGGTGGGTATGGTGTTGAAGGCATGTCGGATAAAGGGGGAGATGGTTATGTAAAGCCAAGACATGGTCATGTTCATGGAGATTTACATGATCGATTCAGCCATGGAAGAGAGATAATTTACAATATCTGATATGTTGGTTGAGGTTTGATTTTCATTTATCATCTAATTATACGTTGTTGATTCCCTATCCCTAATAATTGAGTTTTGTTTGAATGAATCATATCTAAAGTGAGAGAATTTTCTGCCAAATGTTAATATTTCAAGTGCATTAAGGACTTTATGTAAATGATCCAACTCAAATTAATTGTTGCTTCTGAGTTACTTATCCATATAAAGCTATTCCATTGAACTAATATAAGGTTATAGTGGCAAGAATTCTGTTTAAGCTCTTAACTTCTGCCCCCTTTTCATTCATTTTCTTTGTTTCATATCATTATAACTGGTATTTATATATATGATACATTTTTTGCAGTATAATGTGATCAGGAAGATAAGTAGCAACCTTATTGTGATTGGGAAAACATCCATTGAGATTGAAAAAGAAGACGTTAACAATGATGCAGATGATGCTGATAATGCAGAAGAGTCTGAAGGAGATGAGTTTGAACAGGAAACCGGTTGACTTTTTACTGTTTTCTTCACTGCAGATAATATCATAATAGAAATGAACTATCTTTTACTAGTATTATGTAAAACTTGTCTGATACTAAAAGATTACAGCTCGATTTGTAAGCTTGAATAGGTCAAAAAATATATATGGACTAATGCCAGAAAAACTGTGCCTACTAGCACAAAAAAAAATGTTATTTATAGAATTTGTAACAAAATATTTTATTATTGATAATATCATAAACATAAAAGTAAATTTACATGATACAGTTATTATGAAATACAAACATACCATTACATATGTATTCTCATTATTTTCTATTTTTTCAAATGTACAATAAATATTAAGATTTAAGAACAAGCAAAAGGTAACGCAGTGGTTTTTTTTTTTTTTTTTTTTTTTTTTTTTTTTTTTTTTTTTTTTACTTAATAAGTAAAATAATTAATGAACATTTGTTGTTTTTTTTACTTAATAAGTAAATAATTAATGAACAATTGTTGTTTTCCATCAAGGGGTAATATGGTAATTTTTCATCATTTACCATAGTCGGTCAGAGTTATAATCAAACAAAATGATTTCAGTCAGATATAAACTCAGTCCGAAGTTCTAACTTGGTCAGCATTAACTCAGTCAACAACTATAATTCAGTCAGCAACTATCAAACGACCCCTTAGTGCTGTTGCGGTTTTTAGAGATGCTAAAAAACCGATTAAACCGAAAAATGATAAACCGAACCAAATAACACATGTACTAATAATACATTTATCGCAAAGTCTATTTATCAATAATAAATTTTATCTTCAACCGCATAAAACGTTACCCATCTTGTGTTGATAATTAGGTGATTGATATAATTGTAAAAGAATGGTGGAGACCAACTTTTCTAAAAACATACAAACTGTTGGGGTTGGAAAACTCTTCTATTAACACTAAAATAGAATTACAATAGGAGGAGCAATTCTCACACTCAACTATTACAAAAAACCAACCCTCTCACTAACACTCTCGCTCTAAGTGTTATACTATTTGTTTCTCTGTATTTGGGATGCCTACAACTGAAGAATGAAGTCTCTATTTATAGTCTTGGCAGCCACCATTGTAGTTGCCTTCATTAATTGTGTTCATCATAGAGTGGGAAGAAAAATTTGTCCCGTAGGTTTCATTTTGTCAACAATGATGGCTACTGTAGCTTTGGAGGCTTTGGAGGCTGGAACACAACAAATCTCCCCCTCCAGTCTCCGTCCAACAATTCTCATCCCAACTATGTCAGCACATAGTCTGTGTTTCTCTTGTGTCACCACCTTTGTCAACATGTCTGCATGATTGTTGTTGGTGTTGATCTTTAACAACTTCAATTCTCGTCCCTCAATTGCTTCTCTAAGCCAGTGATAACGTATATCAATATGTTTTGTGCGGGAATGGTACATCGAGTTCTTACTCAGGTCCATAGCACTCTGACTATCGCAACGAATGATGTACTCTTCTTGTGGAAAGCCTAATTCTTGAAGAAACCGTTTCATCCATATAAGCTCCTTCCCAGCTTCAACGACATCAATATACTCGGCTTCTGTTGTTGACAGTACGACACACTTCTGTAACTTGGATTGCCACGAGATAGCTCCCCCTGCCAAAGTAAAAATGTAACTTGATGTAGATTTCCTACTATCAAGATCTCCTGCCATATCGGCATCTGTATAACCTTCCACGATTGGCTTTGCTCCCCCGTAGCATAAACATAGTTTCGAACTACCCTTCAGGTATCGAAGTATCCATTTGACTGCTTCCCAATGTTGTTTTCCCGGATTAGCTAGATATCTACTCACAACACCGACAGCATGAGCAATATCTGGTCTTGTACACACCATTGCATACATAAGACTTCCTACGGCTGAGGAATAGGGGACTGCCTTCATCTCTTCTTTTTCTTTCTCAGAAGATGGACAATTTTTCTTACTCAACTTGAAGTGGTTAGCCAAGGGCGTACCAACGGGCTTGGCATTTTCCATGTTGAACTTTTTGATCACACGTTCAACATACTCTTCCTGTGATAAGAACAATTTTATTGATTTTCTATCACGGATAATTTTCATGCCCAATATCTGTTGTGCTTGGCCTAAGTCTTTCATATCAAAGAACTTAGACAAATCCTTCTTCAAGTTGTTGATCATCGTTGCATCTTGGCCCACTATCAACATATCATCCACGTAGAGCAAAAGGATGACAAATTTACCATCTGGAAACTTCTTCAGATAGACACAATGGTCTGCAACAGTTCTCTTGTACTCATGATTCATCATAAATGAATCAAACTTCTTGTACCACTGCCTTGGGGCTTGCTTAAGACCATAAAGGCTCTTCTTTAATTTACAGACGAGATGCTCTTTCTTTGGGACTTTAAAGCCATCAGGCTGCTCCATGTATATTTGTTCATCCAAATCACCATGGAGAAAGGCTGTTTTCACATCCATCTGCTCAAGTTCAAGATCTAGACTGGCAACTAATCCGAGTACAACTCGAATAGACATCATCTTCACAACCGGCGAAAAAATTTCATCAAAGTCGATTCCTTCTTTTTGTTGGAAACCTTTGACAACGAGTCTCGCCTTATACTTCATAGTATTTCCATTGCCGTCTTTCTTCAACTTGAAAACCCACTTGTTTTTCAAGGCTTTCTTTCCTTTGGGGAGGTTTACCAACTCATATGTTTGATTCTTCTGCAAAGAATTCATTTCTTCTTCCATGGCCTTCTGCCAATTTACTTTGTCAATATGAGATTGAGCTTCTTGAAAGCTCTCTGGCTCCCCCTCACTAGTAAGAAGGATGTAGTTTGAAGTCGGATATCTTGTTGATGGAGCATGTACTCGTTCGGATCGTCTAACTTAAGTTCCTTCGTTTGTAACTTCTGGAAATATATCTAAAGTATCATGGGGTGGAAGCTCCCCCTGCTCAACACCTTCTTGATTTGCATCATCAACTTCTTCATCCTCTTCTTCAGTGGAAACATCATCTTTATTTTCAGATATTATATCTGAAACTTTGGAGCTTTGTTGCTTGTAAATCGGTGCCTTGAAATCATAATACTGGTTTTCATAGAAAACCACATCTCTACTTCGAATAACCTTCTTTAGTTCTGGGTCCCATAGCCTGTACCCGAACTCTTCATCTCCATATCCAATAAAGATGCATGGAGTGGATTTGAGGTCCAACTTCTTCCGCAATTCACTTGATACATGTGCAAACGCCTTGCACCCAAATACTCTCAAGTGAGAATATGATATGTCTTTACCCGTCCATATCTTCTCCGGAACTTCAAAATTCAATGGAGCGGAAGGTGACCTATTTATTAGATAGCAAGATGTCAATACAACTTCACCCCAGAATGGCTTTGGGAGTTTAGTCATGCTGAGCATGCATCGAACTTTCTCAACAATAGGGCGATTCATCCGTTCTGCTACACCATTGTGTTGTGGGGTTCGTGGGACAGTCTTTTCATGTCTGATACCATGTTCTGTGCAGTATGTAGAGAACTCATGGGAATAGTACTCGCCTCCATTATCTGATCTGAGACATTTCAACTGCTTGCCTGTTTGTCTTTCCACCATTGCATGAAAAGCTTTGAAGCGGTCCAATACTTGGTCCTTTGTCCTCAGACAGTATGCCCATACCTTTCGCGACGCATCGCCAATGAATGTCACAAAATACCGGCTTCCACCAAGAGATTCTACTTCAATGGGTCCACATACGTCGGAGTGGACAAGGCTCAGCAACTCAGAGCGGTTCTTTCTTGTGGAGCTAAAGGAAACTCTATGTTGTTTCCCAAATAGGCAGTATTCACAGGGATCCAGGGCAACGTCTTTTGCCATTGAAATGGACTCATTCTTTGCAAGAGTCGTCAATCCCTTTTCGCTCATGTGGCCTATTCTTCTATGCCACAAGTTTGGTGATGGCTCTTCTTTAACAACATTGAGACTTGGTTGAAGCGGCTTTGCATGGCTTTTATAAAGAGTACCATCAAGTTGTCCCCTTGCAACAACCATAACACCTTTCAACAATTTCCAGGTGCCATTTTTGAATTGATTATCATATCCTTGGACGTCAAGAGCTCCAACTGAGATAAGATTCATTCTCAGCTCTGGGACATGCCGAACATTTTTCAACACCAATATACATCCAACATTGGTCTTTAAATTCACATCACCAATACCAGCAATGCTTGAGAAACTGGTGTTTCCCATCTTTACGGTACCATGGTCTCCGGGTTTATAAGTAGTGAATAAATCCCGGTTTGGAGTCCAATGATATGATGCAGCGCTATCAATCACCCACTCATCATCATGAGTTCCAACATGTAGACATGCTTCCTCCTCGTATGTAACAAGGGCAACATCTTGTGTTATGGTGACCATGGTTTCACCATTCTCCTGCTTGTATTCTGGCTTGTCTCGGGCTGCTCTCGTAAGAACTTTCGGCAATCACTCCTTTTGTGGCCATAATAATTACAATGATTGCAATAGCCTTCGAACCATGTATTTGAAGATTTACCTCGCTCTCACGATTTCCCTCGATCTCGTGATTTCCCACGATCTTGGGATTTTTCTCTACTTTGACCATGTCTACCTCTACCTCTACCTCGACCTCGGCCTCTAGTTCTGCCCCCGCCTCTTTCTTTGTTTTCTGACACAAGGGCAAAAGACTGGTCTGTACCAGCTTCTTTCCTTCTTGCTTCCTCGTTCATTAGGGCGTCTGTGACCATCTCCATTGTCACTTTACCACCGGGGGCAGAATTGCTGAGAGTCACAACAAGCGTCTCCCAATTATCTGGTAGAGAACTCAAGAGCAATATGGCTTGTTCCTCGTCTTTGAGAACCCAATCAGCAGCACCGAGCTGGTTTACGAGATCCTGGAACTGACTCGGATGCTCGGTTATGGACATACCACTTCGTAACTTGTGGTTTACAAGGCGCCTCATCAGCAAGGTCTTGTTGCGTGCCGTCTTTGCTTGATACATATTCTCAAGCTTCTCCCAAAGTTTGTACGCGTCTGTCTCTTGAGAGACATGATGAAAAACACTGTGGTCGATCCACTGTCGAATTTGTGCCACCGTTTTCTTGTTTATTCTCGTCCAAACTTCTTCTGTCTTCGTGTCGGGTTTGATGCCTTGCTTTTCTATAAGCTCTGCTAAGTCTTTCAGATTAAGCAAATCTTCCATCCTTGGCTTCCACACGTTGTAATTTGTGGGCGTAAGTCGAACCATCGCAATCGTACTTGTAGATTCCATCGAAAATAATTGCAAATTTATTTTACAAATATTTCGAGGAAAAATTAGATAAAACCGAGCTCTCGGTTGGATACGGGAGTGTCAAAAATGGTGGGGTAGAATTTTTCGGGGTCAAAATATACTTTCTTGAAAAGTTATGTGCTAATTTGTAACTTTTCAGAACTATAGGGGCTAAACTGTAATTTTTGGAACTTATAGGGGTCAATCTGAAACGTTTCTGCAAACCAGGGACCTTTCTGAAACTTTTCATAAGTCCAGGGATCAAAACAATTAATTTCAGAACAAAAGGGACCGAACTGCAGCTTTTTCAGAAACAGAGGGACCTATCCGCAACTTTCTGGAACTTCAGGGGCTAAACTGCAACTTTTCTGAAAAAGCTGGTTAATGCTGACGTCATCGATGACGTCATTCGTCTTCTCCGGCGAGCTTCTCCGGCAACTGGTTTTTCCGGTGACAACTTCCGGCAACTTTGACCAGACTTTGACCGATGATTTGAGGGCCTTCCGGTGGTCAAAAAATTACGAAAAAAATATTTCCGGAATCCTTGAAACAAGCCCTTTCCAACGGTGTACTCAAAAATGGATTTTGAGACAAAAAAATTTGACGAAAAAACAGAGAAATTCGTAAATAATTCCCTGGACACCAAACCAAGCTCTGATACCAGTTGTTAGGGTTGGAAAACTCTTCTATTAAACACTAAAATAGAATTACAATAGGAGGAGCAACTCTCACACTCAACTATTACAAAAAACCAACCCTCTCACTAACACTCTCACTCTAAGTGTTATACTATTTGTTTCTCTGTATTTGGGATGCCTACAACTGAAGAATGAAGTCTCTATTTATAGTCTTGGCAGCCACCATTGTAGTTGCCTTCATTAATTGTGTTTATCATAGGGTGGGAAGAAAAAATTGTCCCGTAGGTTTCATTTTGTCAACAATGATGACTACTGTAGCTTTGGAGGCTTTGGAGGCTGGAACACAACACAAACAAATACATCACAGGCCTCTTACTCGAATCACGCGGTTACGGTGAGAATGAAGTATAAGTTAAAATTTGTTCCCACTATAAACGTGTCATGACAACGGGGTCATCGAGGTCCTCATAATCGCATACCAATTTTGGACAAGCATACAAGTTTCTTCCCAGGTTATTATGGGTCATCGAGGTCCTTATAAGTAGGGGTGTGCAGAAAACCGCACAAACCGCATAAACCGCCCGCACCGCACCACACAGCACCGCATAACGCGGTTTGGAACATTCGCCGTGCGGTTTGTGGTTTCTAATTTTGTCAAACCGCACTACGCGGTGCGGTTTACGGTTTTTTAATATGAAATCGCGGTTCAAACCACACCGCAACATATATATATATATATATATATATATATATATATATATATATATATATATAACCAATTGCTCATACTTATAAATAAACGAAGAACATATCGAAGATTGAAGGATGCAAGATATGGATTGAATTGATTTCATAACTAAGATGAAGTTTTTATTTCATTCAAATTATTGATAATCGTGTAGTTTAACCTCCGTGTGTGTCATTTATCATAAACATCTTTTTTGGTGTTAATTCTTTATATGTTTTTTTATATCGTATAATACTTTTATAACATATATATAATTCTTCAAACCGCATAAACCGCACCGCACCGCCTAAAACCACACCGCACCATCTTCAGACTCATTATTCGCTTTTGGAAAAGTTCGTTATTTTGGTCATTTTTTGGAATTTGGGTGTCATTTGATTATTATTGGTAAGATCTCGTAAAAATATTATTAAATTGGGTCAAATGAGCTAATAAACACTTCGCAAACCTTTCCCAGTCCACTTCATTCAAGAAAGTGGATTTTTACCTAATACCTTCAATCATGCCAAATTCCACACTTTCAAAAGTCTAAGTCCAACTAGATTCTGGAAATCAATTTATTAATCGCAGTTTCAATTGAAAATATGTTTTTGCTCATTCTCAGTCAAACTGAATTCAGTCAATCTCACTACGAATCTACAGAAGTCGGGCAGTTGATTGCCTTCGACCATACCGATTGAATTCCCCACTTTCTGATGCAATAGAATTGAGAACTCAAAGTACATTCCTATCCCTTAAGTTCCCTATTGAGTACCGATACCGCAATAAATCCTTCTTTTGAAACCATCCCACTAATCAATCCTGCCATGCTGTATGGTATTTGTACAATAACATATACGATTGAATTCCTTATCTCGCTACGGAATATACCCAATTGAGTACCAAAGGAGAGAGCTGAAGACGAAGGACAATAGCGGTCATTGCTCAAAGCATTGGATTAGCCGGCTTGAGTGGAGAAGAGTATCGATTGTTATGCTTTAGAATAACTAATATTAAGACTGATCTTTAACTATTATTTGAATATTTTGTGCAAAGAGTAATTGACTATCAAAAGTGCAAGTACTTTTTGCGTTGTGGTGTCTTGACATTTTTTTTTTTCAATTAACAAGATTATACAAAATGTTTTATATGAAGTATATAAACTTTATACCCACAATTTACTATATTATGTAAGTAATTATTTAATATTTGAATTCCTATGATTTTACTCTTTATATATACATACATGACTGTTTCTAGGCATATAAACCTTGAAATTTCAAAGCATGATCAGTCCATATCGTAAAATAAGAATGTGGTTTGTTAGATGAAACGATTCGAAATCTCAAAGCATCATTTGTTTGAATTCATCAAAGTTGAGAACTCCATCACCATTGAGATCAAATCGATTAATCATACCCACACACTCATCCACGCTTCTCGACTCACCGAGTCGATTCAGCATCCTGTTTAAGCTCTTGGGAGTGATGCAATCCGTTCCATCCATCTCATACATTCTGAAGGCTTTCCTCAAGTCCTCAAGCTTCTCATCTTCTTTTGTGCTTTCCATTAAATCAACAAAATCTTCAAACCCTAAATATCCGTTGTTTCCATTTGACGATTCAACAACAACTTCAACCTCTTCGAGTAAAATCTCTTCGTTCCAGATCAATCCGACGCAGTGTTGCAGCTCTGATGGAGAGATCATACCGTTTCCATCTCTATCGAAATGATTGAATACGCGTTTGTAATCACTTGAATTCGTCATGATGCTGGAGTTCTTGTGAGTGGGTTTATGTTCTGAGTTAGATCGATTAAGAGAAATAAACGAGTAACTTATGATTTGGGGGATTGATGTTCTTGGGTGAATTTGGTATGAGTTATATAGATACCCATTATACGCGTTTGTTGCCAGAAATTTTGAATGAATGTAAAAGTTTGAATTTGATGCTGAGACGATACGAAATCGAATTTTGGGTAAAATTTCAAGCGGGTTCTCCACGGATTTCATGTCTTGGGACGAAGCTGCAAGGCACTTGGGGACAATTATTTCACCACGAAACTTCAGATATTCAATAATGACATTTATTCCACAGCGTTTTATTTATTTATTATTTTTTTTCAATTCTTAATATTTGTTTAGACTAAACCATTAGAAGATGAGGAATATATTATTAAGAATTCAGAAGAATATCGCTCTGATTTATAATCTTAAAATTTTAGAACAGAAAGCAAAATTTGTATAGGAAATGGTTGTATTCGTTCGATAAATTATTTATTATTAGTTATCTTTAATTCACATAACATTTGAGAATTATAAGTTTATAACTTCAAATTATTGAGTTTTGTGTTTTTATTAGTTAGATTATTTTGTTCGCGATATAATATTAACCAAATTTTATTTGAGATATTTAAAAAAATATATATAGATATATCATTATAAAAGTTTGACAAAATCATAAAAATTGGTCTTATGTTTGTAGAAAATTATCACTATAGTCCAAAACATTTTGAAAGTCCAAAATAAGTTTTTTGTTGTGGTTATGGTTTAATTTTTTTCTTTTGTAAATATCTAAAATAAGTGTATTTTCCCATTGGATTTTCTTTTTCCCTTTCTTATTTAATTTAACATTTTTCTATTAAAAAAAGACAAAGAAACGATCCGGCGACAGAGATGAGCAAATACCACTGGAGTAGTCACATACCCCCACATATTCATCACAACCACCAGAGTTCTGCAAACACGATGAGTTTGTAGAGGGGTGGCGACATGACATGTCGACTTCGACCCTAACGTAGGGTTCTGGGTTGCAACGTCGACTTTGTCTCGCTCCTTCCCCGACGATGGCGTTGAGCTAAGAGCTACAAAAACCCCCGACGAACAACAAATCTACAAACCTAAAACACGAAGTCGTGAGCTAGGGTTTCTTATATGCATAGGTGAGAACGAAATGGGCGATACCGATGAAGTCAACGCTGGATAATACTCGGCTTCCGCCATGTTCGTCGAGTTACAACGTTAGATAATGCTAGGGTTTTCGAGTTACAACATCGTTGTCGGTTGCCATCGTCAGCATTGCTAAAGATATAGGGGTAATCTGACAACAACAATGTTCCAGAAAGAGACCGACGAGAAGGGTTTCTCGATCAAGACTCCGACAAATTCAGAAAGAGATTGTTGGTGCAAGAAAGTAACCCTCAACAGCTAAGTGTTTTTGGTGAAGAATAGAACGAATGTGAAGACGTTTTGAAAGTGAACCGCAGTTAGCCCTTGGCCGAAGGTGGTGAATGAATCAAGTCTGATGTACTATACCGCGCAACGAAGAAATGGATTTTATATTTTATTAGATAAGATCCTTTGAGTAGATGTGGTCAGTAAGGTATGTATGGCCGTCTGTCCACCATAGTTTAACATGATCAAGTATCTTTTATATACTTCTTAAGTCTGTAAATAGAGGGGATAAGAGTTAGTAAAAAGCATGTCTTGAACGAAAATAGAAAATATATTTTAATCCTTATTAACTTGGTCATCAAACTTATGTTGTCATCATTACTAACTTTAAGTCTTGCATGCAAGCTTGGTCAAGATTCAACTAAGTTATTTACCTTGCTTTATATTAGATGTTTAATCGTTTTTTTTATGATTATCGTAAGAAAAACTGTTTATTTTGCATCTATAATATTCTTGAGCCACTTAAGATCTTATTGATTAAACTTAAACATATTCACAACTATATTTTATACAAGTTTTCTCAACAATTGGTATCAGAGTCATAATGGTTGCTCTTAAATATTTCTGAAAACAGTGCTCACAGTTTTTAGAAAAATCTCTTATAAAAAACGCTTTATATACCACTTAGCTCATTTTTGAAAAATTATGGAATTATGGCACAACATTACTCACTATATATATATATATATATATATATATATATATATATATATATATATATAATAGTGATGGTGTTTCAAATCGAGCTCCGATAGTTGTTGCAAGTGAATTGTAGGAAATAGTGCCCTACGTCAAAATTATTGATAATATTTCTAATAATAACAAGGTGTTTTGGGGTTACCCTTAAGATCCAAATGAACAATTAAATGACAAAAGGAATTTGGGAGAAATTAGTTGATTAAATTGTCATCTTATGATAAATAAGTAGAAGATATTTTGAATTTGGTTAGAAGTTAATTACTTACAGGGACTGGATATTAATTAATTAAAATGTTTAATTAGTTGGAACAGTTCAAGGGGAGATTCAGCAAAAAGACAGATGTTTTGGCATTAATCAACTGGATGCATATAAATAGGGAGCTAGGGATCAAACCTTAGATGATCAAAACCCTAGCTCTAAAATTCAGCCCCTCCCTTGTGCCTCTCTTTTAACGACGCAACTCAACCCTCATAGGGTTTATAGTTTGCGATTTTCCTCCCCTCTCCACGGAGTTGTCTTGTTGCTAAGTTGGTGTTCTTAGGTACGATTTCGTTAGAGGGATTCTCCTTTGGATCCTTGACATTTAATTAGAATGGAAAGAATAAGATCACAAGCAAGGAGATCTTTGGCTAACAAAAAGGTATGTCATCTTAACTTTCTTGTAGTTACAATAATGATATGAACATAAGATCCTTATCAGTTTAGTTTGAACATATGACCAGAAAATTATAATATGCTTCGGCTGTCATATGTTATGAGATAGTATGTTTAAAACTTTTTAATGGTATCAGAGCCTTCGTTCAAAGTTATTTGCACCATTAGATCCAGTTTGGTTTGTGTAAAATCTTGTTTGTTGTTTTGGTTTTCGAAAATTAGTGTTTAGAAGGTGCGAAATTTTAATTTTCGTTTTCTATAGCTATTTAATTGTAACGCCCGTATTTCTAGGCTAACCATTAGTATAATGGTGTAATAGTTGTGGTCAACAATTATAACCTACTTTGAAATAATAAATAAGAATTATTTGAATATTATGTGATTTTATGTACATTATACCTATTTATAAGATATAATAAGTTAAGAATAAAAATAAGTGTCACAAATAAAATAATAGATGAAGAAAGTTTTAGTGGTTGGGATAAGGATTCCGGAGATATAAAGAACGTCGAAATCCGAGTTATAACGAAGAAGTTATGACCTGTCGAAGTTTCGCGACAAAACCGGCACGACACCGAGAATCGTAAAAAGTGAGTTTACGATAAAGTACTTTTTAGCGTTAGGGGTCTAAATCAAAGTTGTAGAGTACGTCTCCACCTTCGCGTGAATATAAAGAACGTCAAAAAAGGAGTTCGTATGCAAAAGTTATGGCCTTCCGAAGTTACAGCTGTCTGAGGGCATGACACGTGTCAGAAATCCTAATTTGACTGAACTCACGACGTGAGCATCAAAACTCACGATGTGAGGAGTCAAATTGCCACATTTCGGACCTAGAAGGTGTGTGACGAGGCTACGAAGGGATAAGTTCTAAGCTCACGACGTGAGCAATGATATCTCACGACGTGAGGAGTCATATGGCCACCTTCCGAAGCTAGGGATGCAAATGGCAAGTCTACGAGGTGAGCAGGCTTGACTCACGACGTGAATTTTATAAACTCACGATGTGAGAGTAAAAAAAAACTTGCTATAAATAGCAGGTTCGACCTCAACCAATCTCACACCTAAATCTTCTTACCTCTCTCTCATTTTCTGAAGTCGTTCTGCGTCCCGGGCCCGACGATCACGAACCGCCGACCGTTTCTAGTTAGATTCTATCAACTCACGCTACTAAGGTGATTGCATAGTTATTTTCATCTTACGCATAGATATGAAGTATTTTATATAAATTACATGTTATGTGTGCATATTATCTGTATACTTGTTATGTATGTTAGATGAACACTATTATACATGTTTTAAATGATTTAAACTGTATATGTATTTTATATCTACAAATATGTTGGGGTAAAACATGGGTAGATGAAATAGTTGGTGTGTGATGAAATAAAATGATGAGAGGCCTCGACGTTGTTGTTGATCCAGTCATCTAGCAGAGTATAGATGACGACCACAGACTTTTCTAGACAGTCTAGTGGAGCGCTAGCAGGCCCGCAACCTGTAGGTGTTTGTGAACGATGTGTTCACTGGTGTACTCTATCCCCCTCATGGTTGCCTTACGGACATTTATTGTTGAGGAACCCCCTTAGCAGTGGTGTCCATCCCGATGATAATCCTTAGGCTAGGTCCCTTATGATAGGTGTTTTAGGGACGTAAAGTGAGGATAACGGGAAGGGGTAATCGGGTTATTGTTGGTTGATGAAATTAATAAACCTATTTATTGCGGGTTGAAAACCCTATGTGCTCACCAGGCTCCCAAGCCTGACCCACTCAGTTTTCTCGTATACAGGTAGTGGAAAGAGGGCACAGGAGTGATGATCTGATGAGAGATCAATGGATTATAGGCCACTAGAATAAATAGATATTATAATGCCTATGTTGTTTATGTTTATGCTTTTGATATGTATTAACAATGATATCCCAAGGTTTTTAATATAATACATTTCTTCGGAAGTGCTTTGATAAATTCTTTATCATATAGATATATATATTTTTGGGAACAAATTCCGTATTATATTTCGTTAAAAATATACTCTGATTTTCAAATAAAGCATAAACAAATCGGTCTTTTCTGGCCGTGAAAATGGGGATGTCACAGTTGGTATCATAGCATTAGTTTAAGCGGACTAGGAGTTTGTGGGATTTCTAGACTTAAACTTAGAATGCTAAGCGATAATTATGAGATGAGTGTCTACCATAATTTAGATACGAGCACTAGTTTATTTTAGGAAAGATGTCTAAAATGTTTTTGTGTGCTAAATGCTTTATGTTATAACTATAAGGATGCCTTATATGCTATTATTTGTTTGGATCTATGGTCTAGTGCCGACTGGATCTGGAAACCTTATGTGTTCAGGATTCTAAACGTTTAATTACTATAGTAGAACTGGCATGTAACTTATCGGAGTAATAAGGAGTATTTAATACG